TTCAAACATCCGCAGAGCAAACGTAGAAGATCCTAACAAACCGTGGACTCCAACAAGTTCAACAACACATCAAGACTCTTGGAGGTTTTCATCTTTTCTGCTGTGAATGGCCCAGGAGTTTCCACCAAGTCATTGTGGATATCGCCGAAGTGAATATTTGGCCAGGTAGTTGGCGATTCTGACCACAAATTTGGTTTGGTCCACCTTTTGTAGGGGTTGAAAAGGGTGATTTGGCTCCATCGATGCTTATGACCAATTTCTGGTCAAATCGTCTTCAGTCCTCTGCCGTTAGAGTGGATAAATAACCGGGATCAATACCCTTTACGTGCTTTCTCACTCCGTCCATCATTTTAAATTTGTGTTTCTTGCCTCCGACCAAAATCTTCCCAGCATGCAAGGCGCGCTTTTGTCAACAATGAAACTCGCCTATTGTACCAAATCACCAAGTCAGGTTTGGGGAGCAGCATGCCATGGTCATTTTGAGCACAAAGTATCTGTAATGAATTTGAGCTTTAAGTAATTTCTGCAAGTCATTAAATTAATACAACTGTACAAGATTTCAACACAATTATAATCTTTTCTCCACTGACATGCACCATCTCCAATTAGAGTCCCTTGAAGCAGCGATTCTTTTTCACACCGCAGTGGATGTAGATGTAATAAAATGAAATAATAAAAGTCCACTGTAGCTGGCTCTTTGAATGGTCACACAAATGAGTCTCTATTCCCTCCCTGACTCTGACCTGGAAGGCTCCTCTCCCATTTAAATGCCTAATTTAGCCAGCTGATGGCCAGGATTTTCGCTGACGCCTTATCTCCAAAGAAGTCTGTATTATCCTTTCTTTTCTGCTACAAAGCTCCCACATAGAGAAGCAAAGGATCATGGTCCGTCTGTGAAAGTGAGACAAAGAATGGTGCTTTTTAAATGTACTTGAGAGACACACACTTACACACTGACAGACAATATTAATATGTTTTCTGTTTCAGTATTTACATTTTCATTTGTTGGGCTGAGGGGAGCTCATTTACATATCTCAGTTTTATACCTTAGGCTCTTATTTCATATTATATAATCTCACAGAATACAAATACTAAATATTTCATGAATGGAATGTCAGTATTTCTCCTTAATGAGGATATTTTATTTTTCAGTCTGGCTTTCAGATGGAACATATCTTTGAACATGGACGGACAATCATGAATGCATTTTTTAAAAGGGTTCATATTACGCTATTTTCTGTTCTATGTTACAATATTATTTCCTCATTGCAAACATACCAGGAGTTGTGTTTGGTTTCATTCACACATGTTGAACTCACAAATCCACTGTGTTTTTAAGATCAATAAACCTTCACTAGAATCATTTGATTGATTTCAGCTCTGGAATTGCGCATCTCCACTGAACTAAAGGCAAAAGGAGCTGTTAACTTGAAAACTACGGAATGAAACAGAAAACACACACCGAAGTTCTTGTAGAGGTGCAAATGCAAGGAGCAGCAAAATAAAACGGAAAAAATGCATATCACACTCAGATGGCCGATGTCCAAAAGCTTTTTTATTTATTTATTTTTTTGTTTTTAATAATGTTTCGGCAAACGTTCCTGTCTAAAATAGAACACTTCTGGATTCACCAACTTAAGACTCTAGCTCCTCATGGACTCAAGGTAGAGTTTGACCTAAGATGCTTTTAGTGATATGGATAAACATTTTTTGTATTTAATAGAATGATTTTATGTAAATATCTAAACAGTTTTTTTTTTTTTGTTTTTTTTAATTATGTTATTAGGTTCTTTTTTCAGACCAAGAGTTTGTTTTCATACCTGACAGTTTGGACTACTCACTAGTGGTCTTCCTCAGAGTGGTCACGTGATGTTGCTGTGACGTGTCCAGTCATCTGATTTATACAGGTTTTGGTGTTGTCTTCCTACTGGTGGAGGCAGGACGACAGCGCCATCTGCAGTCTGACTTCCTCAGGACAGTATCCCAGGTGTGTGAGAGTAAAAAATCCCCCTCGTCCCAGTTTATAGTCCCATGGGCATGTTTCCGTATTTCAGTTGTTGCTTGTGTACACGCATTCGCTGTTTCCTTCTCTTAGGAAGACAGCGCCAAAAGATGTTTAAATCAGCTGACCGGACATGTCACAGCAACATCACGTGACCACTCTGAGGAAGAGTGCTAGTGAGCAGTCCAAACTGTGAGGTATGAAAAACAAACTCTTGGTCTGACAAAAGAACTTAATAACATAAAATTATAGGAAGACTAAATGAACCTCCTCTTTGTTGGTGGGGGATATGAGCATCTGGGCTGGCAAACATTTTGTGTACTGTGGTCCACAGCAAGAATAATATTTGACGAAGGCATTTCTTTTTTTTTTTTTTTTATTTTTTTGCTTAAACATTTTTTTTTTAAATGCATGATTGGGTTGTAAAGTCTTTAAGCAAAGCCATAATTTATTTGGCTTCATGCTGTCTGCTGCCAACATTTTTAGACAAAGTGAAGTAGGGATGTAACAATAACCGAAATACCATGATATCGTATTGTCAAAGTTCTCACAATAATATCATGGATCATCACAATATATCAAATTACAAGTCTCTTTACTTAAATTAAGAGTTATGGTTCAGCAATAGCTAAAAAATGACAGAGAACTACATGGACCATGATCCTTTGCTCCATTTCAGTGTAGACTACAAGAAGAAATAACAGATCTAAGCACTTTTAAGTCTTAGTTTTTTAGATTAAGTCTTGTCAAGGCATTTTAAGAGGAAAAATTAACATATTAACAGTGTTTGTTGTATTCCAATAAATATCATACAGTGAGATGTATATCGTGAAAATATCGTACCGCGAGATTTGGTTATTGTTACATCCCTAAACATGAGCCTCCCCACCACATCGTGAGCTTTCCCATGATATCACAATAAATATCGTACCGTGAAGTTCATACTGTGATGATATCGTATCATGAGACTTGTCCTGACTTGAGACATCGGAGCAAAAAAAACCCCAGCATTATACCGCTAATACTCCACTTTACTTTAACACTTTATTCTAAAAAAAAGCAAGTTCCCCGAGGTCACACATCACATGTCCACTGCCCTCTGCTGGCCTAAGTAGGGAGTGAACCATGTAGAAAAGCCAAAAAGCAGCACAGCGAATTCCAGCAATATGACACTGGCACATTTGATACTTCTGAGTGAAGGCGGTTTGAGACAGTTTAAGACTGATTATAAATAATTGTGAGGAAATTACTCTGCTGCAGCTCAGCTAAGTGCTTCAACTTTTGTTTTCGTTCAGAACCTAATTGCGATATCGTCTTATTGTAATAGTTTTGGGATGAGAGTGGATTGGCTCTGCTATCTCTCCTTCCCTCTCTTTTTCTCTATCCCCATTCTCTCCCTTTCTTTCTATCTCTCTAACCCACACCTCTCTCCCATTTTTACTCTCTATCTCTGTCTCCCTCTTCACCTACCGACTACTTCACCATTTGAAAAAGCCCTTCTAAAGCAGTCCGACCTCAGTTCACTCACTCTGCCTGTTGATGTGTCCCTGGGCAAGACACTTCACCTACCTACCTCTGCCCAAATTTAGCGTTTGAGTGATTGATAATGGTCAAACGAAGCACTTAAAGCCTACTCTAACTGAAAAACACCATGAAAAAGACTTGCTTATTTCCCCCCGTCTGTAAATGATCTAAATTAAACATTTGTTCCCAGTGCAGCTGTCTGATCCGCTCCTTCCCCGTGAGAGTGAGCACCTGCAGTAGCGTATGGGGCTGCTCTGCTGTATAATGCCCCCATTAGCATTAGCTTTATGTGCTGAGTCGGAGAACATGATCAATGGTTCAGCACAGGCTTAAATGGAGCTTTAACTGTACAATGTGATCCTCTATTCAGATCACGTGTCAGGGCTGTTTCGTATGAATACGTTTAGTGAATATGCTTTTACTTCACTGTCACAGATAATCAAAGAGAGTAATGTCTTTGGAGATGTGGCTTTGAATAATCCCATGATAAGATTATCTGGAGGCACAAGAGTTAGGAAGCTAAGATGTGTAGTGTAGTGTATGTGAAATCTGCTTAAAATGAGATATTAGGAAGTACTGTATAATTTGAATGACATGGATTATGAAGGTTTATACAGTATGTGGTAAAAAAAAAAAGTATGTAACAGTTCAGTCCTAACTCTACACTGCTCTGAACACCACAGTATTTTCCGGACTATAAGTCGCTCTGGAGTAGGGATGGGCATTTGATGAAATTTTCTTAATTGATCGTCGGAAGAATTATCGATTAATCATTAACGTTTTTATATTAAAATGATCATCATTATTATTACTATCTGCACTACTAATCTGCATAAATAAATTCTACTTCACGACATATAAACCGTAACCGCTCTAGAGCCACATCAGCCGTTTGACATTATAATGTGTTTAATTCAGTTTTGCGCAACTCTCACAGAAACAAAACTTAAAACCACATCGCTAATTTGCATAAACTAAGCGAAGATAAAACTACAGCTCTTGTGTCGCTGATGCGTTCAACGTCTGTCGGATTAAAAGACACGACTCAGTGGAATACAGGTTAATGTGACCAGATTTGCGTTTGTTAAAACCAGGACACCGTACGGGAGGTGGGGACTCGTCATCAACATTGCGCGACTCTCACCTGGCAAAGCTTTTTCCCACTGGACACCGAAACATATGTTCCTGCTTTGTACACTGTGCACATGGACTCACACTTGTCCCGAACCCAACAGAAAGCGTGGAATTTCTTGTACAAATCATCGTTAAATACGCATTTGTGCTTCGGTACGTTGCAGACTGACCCACTGTTTGTGTCTCACTCCTTCTGAGTGCAGAGAGACACATGTACAGACCCCTGTTTGGTCACTCTACACACAGCAACCTATATTCGGTTTGTCGATTAAAATTAACATAATCGATGAAATTCTTAATGATCAATTTTCGATTAATCGATTAATCATGCCCATCCCTACTCTGGAGTATAAGTTGCACCAGCCAAAAAATGCGCAGTGAAGAAGAAAAAAACATATATAAGTCGCACTTTTTGGGGAAATGTATTTTGTAAAATCAGAGACCAGGAACCGATATTTTATCTTGAAAAGCAAGTATAGTTATAACAACAGAATAGAGAACAACAAGATGAATAGGCGTTAATATGTTAACGCAACATATTAACAGTTGTTCAGATAATTATAGCATAAACAACAGAACATAAATTTGCCAAACTCACATTTTCACTCCAAATCACTAAATCCATTGAATTCTTCGTCCTCTGTGTCACTTCTGCGTGACCTCCAGAGATAAACCATAGATCCACGAGGTAAACGGAGCACCACTTCATCTTCTGTGTAGCTGTCATCAGACTCAACATCAGTTCCAGTTAGAATTATTCCGGCCTTTCTGAATCCCTACACGATGGCTTCGATTGTCACTGAAGTTCAGGCTTTGTCGATCCATCCGGTGACTTCCAGAAAAGTTACATGGCACACCCGCCCAGTTGCCGTGAAGCTGTGTTCTCCATCCCCGTTTTCCACCTGTCAGTCACAAGTTTCTCACTCACTCCAAACTTTCTTTCTGCTGCTCGATTACCATTTTCGGCTGCATATTTCACTATTTGCAGCGGGACAGCAGCTTTTTCTGCAGGAGGCATGTGCAGTAGAGTGCGAAGTGACAGTGGTACAGGAGTAAAAGTAGTACTAGACACTGACACACGAGCCTATAGCGCCCTCTCGTGGCTGTCAGTCTGAAAATTTTTATCTACAAGTCACACCGGAGTATAAGTCGCAGGATCACCCAAACCATGTAAAAAAGTGTGACTTATTGTACGAAAAATATGGTACAATGAAGCCACTTGTTTCTACTTTGTTGCATTATGACAATCGGATGCTACTTAGCAACTGAGTCTAACTATAGTCACTGTTTGGAGTGGAGGTTTGGTGGCATTTAAGTGGGACTAAACAAATAAACTCCACCCACAACCATATTCCAAACAGAACAGCTAAACTAGGAAGTACCTTAATAATAATAATAATGCATAATTAGATAGAAAGCTTTTCCACATGCTCAAATTTGCTTTACAATTTCAGGCATTATTCACTCACTCCATACTTGGTGGTGAGCTGCTGTTGTAGCCAGAGCTGCCCTGGGATGGACTCAAAAGACACAAAAGTGAATTTACCAATCTGTGCCATCGTCCCTTCGACCATCACCAGCAGACACCACATTTATACAAGGCAATGTGGGGGCAGAGTGTCTTCCCTAAGGACACAACAACAGTTTTGCAACTAGCACCCCACTGTGGCACCTGCTATTCCCAGCGGTCTACCATCCAAGTACTAACCGGGCCCGGCCTTACATAGCCTCAGACATTTAACAAGGCTTTGACAAGGAGGTTTGGCTGCCTTGAGGAATAGAGAAAAGTTTGAGGGGGTGGGACAAGGTCTGGACACATCAGCCACACCTCAGATGAGAGTTTAGTGCTCACTCATGCTGGAGAAATCCTCTGTGGTTTTCAACCTCATTTCACATATTTAGTTATATATTTATTTATTTATTTATTAGTTTATTTAATAGGGACAGTGCATATTAATGAACATCTACAACATTGGAGTGTAAATATGCCAGATTATTAGCCACTGTTTCACTTTGTACAAACCGTCTGACTTTAGGATTTGTTCGCTCGACAATAGACAGGTACTTTTTATCATTTGCTATTTGGTCGTGACGTATGTAATACTAATGAGCTAACTGGTATATTAAGCTTTTCCCAAACGCAGTAGGAAGAAGGACAATAACATCTTTCCCCTTGATAAAATTCACCAAACATTCTCTTTGTTCTGGCTTTAAATCCTCGATCTCAGGAATCGTTAACAACACTGATTATATGACTCTTCGCTGATTGGCTGGTGCCTGAACTTGCACTTCTGGTGTTTTTGCGAACTGTTTATTGTATTTTGATTCCTGACCTAGTTGCTGGAGAGAAATTAAATTGAGCGGAGACACTAGGTGGCGCCAGCCTGGCTACCAGATTATAGCAAGAATGTTTATTTCCATCTGTAGTCCGTAGGCAGGTAACACCACAAATTTAACAGAGAAAAAACAACAATAACAAGTGACAGTTCTAAACTAAAAGTGTCCACAAGTCCAGTTTTCTTTTAGCCACTGTTTCAAGTGGGATTTGAAAGTGGCTCATTTCAACAGTCCCTTATTTTTTTCCTTTGAACTGCACATGCTGCATTTCTTAAAATCCATGATATGATGAAAACTTAAAAACTGATCTTGAAAAACAAAAAAGTTTCAAAAACTGCTCAGTGTGTGAACCAGGTAGCCACAAAAGCAGCCAACCACTCCACTGCCATGGAGTCACTTTCTCACATACTCACATCTTTGTAAAGTATTGAAGAAGTGTGTATTCTGAATCCCAAGGGATGGACTTTTTAATACTGCAATGGTGTTTACAACATAAATTGAATGTTTACCGCACAATGAAATAATCCCCATTGAAACAACATAATAAATAAAATGAAAGATTGAAAAGTTATCCATCCACAATTCCCTGTCCCCTGGTAAACACACACAGCCAATAGTCTCCCATACTGAATAGTCATTATGAAGTGCCTCCCCTGGTCTGCACATACTTCATACTACTGTGGAAGTGATCAGACGGAGCAGGGCTGCATGTTAACTACAGGACCACCAGTACACTCCCTAAATCATCAAGTCTCCAGTGAATTGACTAACTTTATTTACAACTCAAGTTTTTTGTCATGTCTTTTTTTAATAAAGCAAATATAATGATCCAAGCATGTGTGTTAAAGGCCTTGTACCCTGTAGGAGAGAAGAACTTGCCCCAGTACAGATTGTAAAAGCAGATCTGGAGGTCAAAATAAGTCCACTGTGTACTGCCCGCTTCTAATTAGAACTGAAAATGAGGAAGTGTGTGTTGTTGTTTTTGTTTTGTTTTTTTTAGTTTTTACAACAGCTTTGAGTTCTCTCTCCCCTTGCTAAGTCACTCCCCTTTCAGAATATCATCACAACAGAATCAGCGTGCACTCTGCTCCTGAAACTACTGCACATCACATCAGGTTTGTGGAGTTGTAGTGTCTTGTTTTGCATCCTGCCTCTGAATATTGAATAATCATAAGAAAGGTTTAAACAGTGCCTGGGAGAGATCACTAGATTATTCAAACATGCATGGATGATGTATAAAACTACTTAATTTGTGTTCTGATTTACCTGAACAGAACCTCACATATAAAACATTTGTAAATATTTTTATTTACTTTATGTATTTAACAACGACAGTGCACACAATACATTGATTTGAAAAGAAAAGATGTTCTGTGAAAGATTTAGCGACAAGCTCCTTTCCATTTGCTGTGCTTGAGCAGGTACAAGTACAACACACATTAAAGAGCCTATTTACATGCAGAATTAGGAATGTTATGGAGATAAATGAATTAATCATCTACAAAAAAATTTACAAATGTTTGTCATTAACTACTCATGTACTAATAATGACATACTTGTAGTTTGTAGTAAATGATTTGGTAATGGTTAATAAACAATTACGAGTGATTTAAAGGTATGCCTTATTGTAAAGTGTTACAACAGGGGTGTCAAACTTTTTTCATCAAGGGCCACATATCTAAACACAGACGAAGCAGAGGGCTGATCAAGGGCCGTAGACTGGTGCTCAGTACAGTGAATAATTGAAATATGTGCATGTTTAACACACTAGAATGAGCCATTAGTCTTTATTCATGCTAAGATCCTCAAAACCACACACTAAATATTAAATATTGGCTTTATCAAGGTAGATTTTCAAAAAACTTGCAATAAAAAGTCAATTTTTTCATTGATACAAGGTCATTTGGGCCAATTCTTCTGGAAGCCTGAGGGCCAAGAAAAATTTGTCTGAGGGCCACATTTGAACCACAGGTCATACTCCAATTAGGTTCAATTGGTCCTCTGATATTTTATGTTATTAGGTTCTTTTTTCAGACCAAGAGTTTGTTTTTGACTGCTCACTAGCGGTCTTCCTCAGAGTGGTCACGTGATGTTGCTGTGACGTGTCCAGTCAGCTGATTTATACAGGTTTTGGCAGCAAACATCATTGGGACAGAGGAAAAAAAAACACAGTTGATGGATTAAAGAGGCAACTGAAATACGGAATGTACCCACGGGACTATAAACCGGGACGAGGGGGCCTTTATACTCTCACACACCTAGGATACCTGTCCTGAGGAATTCGGACTGCAGATATGTATAACCTGTATAAATGAGCTGACCAGACACGTCACAGCAACATCACGTGACCACTTTGACGAAGACAAGCTAGAGAGCAGTCCAAACTGTCAGGTATGAAAACAAATTCTCAGTCTGAAAAAAGAACCTAATAACATGAATCACCAAACTCTTATTTATCTCAGGTAAAAGAAATGATATGATATGATATTTTGTTTTGAAGGTTACAAGAATTTTGGAAAGGAGATGTCTTCAGCATTTGAGAGACATTTGAAAGACAGAGGTTTTTCACACTTTATGGGCTGGTCCCAGGCTCTTCTGGATTCAAACAGAATGTAGAAGGGACTGGCTGGTCAGGCAGGTTTCTGGGAACAACATTATAGCATTGTTGCCTGACCAGCTAGTCCCTTATACATAGTGATGGGCAAATGAGATGGAGCTCAGGAGCACGTCTTGTTCTTTCTGAAACAAACTGCTCCGAAGCACTGCCTCGGAGCTCGTCTCGCAGCAGCCGCTCACGTGACCAAAGTGTCGAAGTGTCGGCCCCTCCCCCTACTGCTTCGCTCTGCGTGTCAATCGCTTCAGTGTATCGAAGCGTTTCATTGGCTCAGCGAATGTTCTGCTCTGCGATTGGTTCAGAGTGCTTCAGAGTGTTCAGCGCACTTCAGTGGTTTGACAAGCGCTGAACTGCTACAGTATAAAAGATGCACCGATATTTCTTAAAAATGTTGGGTAGTGAGGAGTATTTTGTGATGTTAGTGGGGATTTTGGAGACTTTTGGCATTTGTTTCATTTTCAATGGCATCTACAAGTGGAAAAAGGCGATCCATGGTTTGGGATCACTTTGATCTAATTCCACCTAACAAGGTAACACCTATTTTCTTATTTACAGCATACTATTTATGTTGCTCTTTACATATTATTTTAAATCATCATTATTATTGTTGTTGTTAGGTTCGGTGTTTGCTCTGCACACAGGTATTATCTTACACTAACAATACATGCCAATGGTTAAATTTGTCCACTAGAGGTCAGCGTTTCTCCGAGGCCTCAGACACGTCGAACCATTTGAGACAATATTGCAAGTGAGGTTTCAATGCTTCATGAGGGTTCATTCGCCCATCACTACTTATACATTCTGTTCAAATCCAAAAAGGCCTGAAACTGGACCAGAGCGCGTGAAAAACCTCTGTCCAAACTTGAGACGATCTAACCATAGCTGATCATTTGCAGCCACGAATTCTTAGTACGTGTCCGTCAAATGCAGAAAATTCTTGTCGCATTCAGAGTTTGTTCGGTTTGGTTCTCAATTGTTGATTCTGTAAAAATCCGCCTTGTTTCTCAGTTCTTTTATGTAGTTTTTTTCTCCTTTTTTACCTGTAAACAGCCATGTATTTTGACGCAAACGGAGCATACGTCCCTCTGATTGGCTAATCCGTCTGTCAATCACACCGTCTGAAATCAGGGAGACGTGATACAGCTCCAGATCCACTCGTCTTTTTTTTTGTAAAGTCTTTTCAAAGCGTGTGGTTCTGGCTGACAGAGTAAATAACATGTTAGAAAACTCCAAAAAGCTGATTTTTAACACGTACGCATGCGCTCACTCAACTTCCAAAAAGAAATGTACACTGCCTCACCTTTCTCACCTCTATCTCTATATCTTTATCTCTATTTCAGTACGCCCATTCTTATTAACATGCATTGCCCTCTCCCTCCTCACCTTCTCAACTCTGTCCATTCTCATCTCCTCCATTTTCTCATTTCTTCACAAAAGTCTTCGCTGGGCAGCCATCCCGAAACGTGGTGTCAGCAAAACTCTAACCATATGCCACTATAAAGCGCTGAGCTGCTATTACCATGCTATGCTAATAAACCTGCTTCTGGAACCGGTCGCCACGTGGAGAGATGGTACAGGGTTCAGCCACAGGTGGATTAAAGGTCCTAT